GTGACGTCCGCCCAAGATGCCTGGTTGTATTTTTTCTCGCCTGTGTAAGTCGTATADACACAATCTACTCCAGCTACGTAGGGGTTGTTCATCGCCATATATAATAGCTCAGACCAATGCTTGCTGTGGCTAAGCCGGCCTTTAGTAAGTTATGGTCATATTCCTCAGGTATGGTCGGTAACGCGGGAATATGCTTTGATGGTTTCTTGACCGCTGGCTTTTCTGTGTGTTCCTTCTTTGGTTTCTCTACGAAGTGAGGAATGCCCTTGGTAGTATCAGAGTTCACGTCATTCACCCCAAACTTCATATCCTTAGTAGCTCGTTGAAGTTTGTTGTTACAACCCACAACGGAATTAATATTGATAACCAAATTACTTGGCATTAACCAACAACCCGGCGACAAAGCGTAATCTAACCGCACCTTAGATTGCTGCACCGCTAATTGATACCTTTGCACCGACTTGGATATATCATTTTCTATTATTGCGGACTCAAACAAGGTTAGGAATTCTTGTTGCGTTTCCTGTGAAGCACCTTGGGCACCAATCATTGGACTGCGGGTATTTACCTGCGCTCCTAAGACGCAGTAAACAAATGCTTCTATGCTGCTATTTATGCGAACCAAACCTGCCTTTGTCAATCCTTTACCTTTCTGAGGTATGAACCAATTATACTGACTTCTATCCTTATGGGTGGATGTGTAGTATGCCGTAAGAGAATCTTCGTGGGGGCTGGTGTAATGAAAGTTAAATTCATCCGAACTCTCAGATCGACCCTTAAACCTAAAGTCGGGGTTCGCTACGTTAAACTCCCTACATAATTTAATGAAGGCACTCTTATTATATCTGGTGCCGGTCCAAACAAAGCTATTAGTCCATGGCAGTACGGCTTGAAGCTCGCTTAAAACTCTCGTAATCGTAAACAAGACATGAAACCTCAAAATAGAACCGGTTTGGGTAGCGGGTTTAATTAAGTCATAGCTAATACCGCAGCCGTTTGTCGCACACCACACGGCAAAGTTTAATTGCTGGGACCAATATTTCATATTTGGTCTTTCGGCCCATTTGGCGTAATCACTCGCGTTTTCCACGGCTGGCGGTGTTAGTTGAAAAACGTCGCTCGTTTTGGCTATGAAAAACTTCGATGGTGTCACGAAGATCTTAAATGGGAGCTTCTTAATGTCTTGCGGCTTATCGGTGAGCTCCACGGCCGGAATAGGATAGGTACTGGTACCAAGTATTAATTCCTTTGGCCAACCGGGCTTAAGGGGTGTTGGTTTAGGCGCAACATGTGTGGGTTCATGTCGTGGATGCTTCGGCTGATCCTCTATCTTGTTG